GGCAGCTGTAGTGTCAACTATTACTAGTACTATGAGTATATTGTAAGGACCTTTCCTTTCATTACGTCTCCCGAAGAAGGAGAGCTTGTTCGTCTGCAGCATCTAGAAAACAAGTCGCTTTTCCCTCTACCCACTTTTAATACTCACATAAAGTCTTCAAGAACAGGCGAAAAACGTAAGGACAGTCTACAACTCATTTGACCACTGAAATACGGCACTTTCTTCAGTGTTTCTTCGTCTTAAAATTCTTCTAGCTACTAGATCGGTCTTCCATCTGTTTTGAAGATGGCGTTTTGTTGCTCCCGCTTCTTACCAGCCACGAAATGTTTCTGTGTTTAAGCGTAGTCGGCCAAGAACTTCAGACACGGCTATTTGGGCCTCTCGAATAGTTGCTGGATCTTACTTCTTGGCTCTTCCCCCAGGGGCTTGCCATTTCTTCACATTTTGTTTGCACAACAGCTTGAAACAACTCTGCTGGATTTACCTCATGGCCCTTCGTTGGTAGAAATACAACTTGAATCTTTGGCTCTCTAAAGTACTGGTGTATCAAAGGATTATAGTGCTGCGTGTCAGTCGCTCGCTCCAAGTTGTCTTCGCTGCAAGACTTATTTGGAGGCGACATTGAAACGCGATCGCACTTCGTTTTCAGTGAAAAACCTTTGATTTGTTTTTCTTAGAAATCCCGTGATTTTGCATACCTTTGTGATTTCGTTACTAAGTTTGGATACGCCGTGACGCAAGTCCTTCTTGCGTGATCAACATAAAAATATTTTCCATGCGTGGAATTTAACGAAGTTTAAAGGACAAAAATATCATTAAGGTTCTTTGGCTTATTTTATTTTTGTAAAACGTCAATCCAGAACAGTTTTGTCCAGCGTACTATTGTTCAAAATATACGCTTTTTGAAGTGCGCTTTTCCATTTACGACGTTCCGTTTAAAAATATGTACAAATTTGAAATCGCTATTCTAGTTAATTTCTTTCTAGTTTGCAATTGCAGGCAAGTCCTTTTTTTTCTGAGTTAGGCAGACTTCGCTCTTTCAACGCGTCTTACCCTTCATGGTCGCTTGTGAGTGTTTACTATGGTGGCCCACAAGGAACATGCTGCAAATTCAAAAGTTGCGAATGCAATTATGACAAAAATTTTCCGCGACATTTTTGCGGTTGACCCTGTTATCGACATCAATTTTAGCCGCTTATTTAATATCTTTTATCGTTTGGTCATTTCATTAACACTTCTGTCAGCAGAGGCGGGCTGCTAATGGGCAACCAAGTGAATTAAAAAGTATTTCTTGCTCGTCTGTCAATTAAAAAACTATCGCAGAAGATCGGAGGAGCAATATTTTAAAATCACTACGACTAATAATAATACAATCAGAACAATGTAATCAGAATACACGAGGGTCGAACGATAGTCTTTTGTTTTGAAAGTTATTCGTATATATATCGTATGTCTGAAGGGTGCTGTTTTAAACAAATAATTGGACCAGTATCCAAATAGTCTACTTAAAATTTTAATAATTCTACGTAGGAGAGCTTGTAGCAGTTGTTCAGCGTCCTCGCAAATGAAAACGCAAATTTTGGTGGCCGTATCAAACAGTCCGTCAAGAGGTTTCTCTTTCTTTGAACTTGCTTCTTTATCCAGAAACAAAGCACGCACTCGTGTTAGGGGTTCCATTGATGTAAGATTGAGATCTTTTTGATTGTTTGATTGAAAAACACTGAATGGGCAGTTACGGTTGCCATCGTAAATATGATTAGTGTTTTGGCGAAAACATTTCCGCGAACAGTAGTACGAAGACATCAAGGTCTCGTGTAGGACCGGCGCCCCTTCTTTAGCAAGGAGTGTGGGAACCACGCCTATAATTGTATTTCTGTGTACTCACCTACCTTATGTTTGTTTCCCGTTAGCTGGCGATCTTGTGCAGCTCTCTTAGGGCTTGTGGGCTGTGAACATGAACAGCGAAAGTGACCGGGTGTTTATCATAAGCTGCTTCTTATAACGATATTGTAGCTCTTAATCGTTCGCGAAGGTAAAAAATATCCCGCTGTGTGCTTTCTTGCTATTTGCTGAGAGTCTTCGTCTTTTTATTGTCTTGTCTACGCCCACTTTTCCGGTCTTTGCTTTGCAAAACAGAGGAGGAATTAATATATTGCTATTAAAACAATAGCAATAAACCCAAGGAAGCTGAGACAAGTATTGTGGCACGCGCGATATTGTTAGGTGTAATTGCTCTGCGCCCTTAAAAGTGTGCTGTAAATGCATACACTGTATTTGATGACATTTTTCAGGGACGTGACTCGATTACAAGGCAATCAAATTTGTTTATTGCATTTTCTCTTTCTTGCCGTTTCAAATAGTTGAAATACTTTGCTTTTTCGTTTTAAATACCTTTTTCGGTGAGTGAACGAAGGCATTATGTCTCTAAGGACTAACATCGTGAAAGCGCCTGGAGTCACTTACGCAGCAGCAATTCATTCACTAGCCTCTGGCCTCGAGTTGTAAAGGTCATGTCTAAGACACTTGATGAAATTAATATCATATTCATTTAAGTTGCACGCTGTTATCACTGTTCGAAGTCAAAGCTTTTTATATGAAGTTTTCAAAACTGAAGTAAATGTGCAAACTTCGGTAGATGAAAATGAACTTAAAATTTCTTTTTCTCTTTTATCGCTCCTGTGTTTTTGCAACTTGGAAAGTCTCCGATGGCGGGCGAATGCCTTTTTAAATATCGAAATAAAAATCGGAACATTTAAAGTTTCCAACAAGTTTTACCCCCTCATATATTAAAAGTTCCCACTTAAAGGCGTTAACCGCTGCCAAATGTAATTATTGCTAGTTAAGATGTAACACTTTTTCCTCTTTGCAAATTTTCCAGAACCATTTGTCTGTAGCATTCGCATGCCGACCCCCATCTTGATTTTAAATTGTATCCGCTTCCCCACGGCCTTTTGCGTTTTGTTTCCTTGGGTCAACATTTCTGTCCCAGTTGAACAGTCGAAAGCAAGACTTATTGCAGTTAAGTAGTTGTATTCGTTTGACTGTTTGTAGAGGTAGCACGTCCCGTATTAGTGTCAGTTCAGTTTTTCCGAATGTTGACTTACTGAAACGAAAACTAAGCAGTGAACAGAGAATAGATATTGAATATGACAGCAAGTACGATCTGGGAAGAGACCCTGTAATTATACAAAAATTTCCTCCTACGGAATATTACTAAACTCGTTTTGGTGGGTCCTTCATTAGTTTCAAACCTTGGGCGAAATATTCATTGACATTTATTTAAACAATTAAATCAGATTGTCCTTCTTTACTGTTTTTTTGCAGTAATTATTGGTTCGCAAAATATCTACAGTCATCTCCCTCTGATTGGATAGCTCTGTAAGACGGCATATGCCCTAATTCCAGCTTAAACGGTGACCTAAAGATCCTTTACTTTGAATCTCTAAAAAGCGAACTTCCCTCTAAGAGGAGCTCTCAAAATTCAGCCGAGGTTAAGGGAAAAAATGCGCAAGTGCGGCATTGCGAAACGTCCATGTAAATATGATTAGTGTCATTAATAGTCGCTTATCGCGTGATCCTCTTGGCTTTGTGGGGTACGGATACTCACCCTATCTTTATTCAATCGTGTCAACTCTGACTAGCTCTCTTAGGACTTGTATCGCTATGATCGCGAATTGCGAAAATGGCATGACATGTGTAAACCGCTAAAGGTCCTTTATCAACAGGTGGTCGAAAAAATTGTTTTCAGTTTCCGCTGACTGACGGCTGTGTTTATTTAATGATTGTTCTTGTCTCTAAATTTAAACATTGCACTCTGCTTTTCCGGTCGTTTAGTAACTTCGTCTCCAATATTCCCCAAGCCAATGCGTTTATTATTTTATCATTCGTTTTATTTTCAAATTTGCCACGCTATTCAAATACGGTAAATAAAAGAAAAATTAGATTGAAATAAATAAAGATAAAATGACACTGAAGAAAATACCGGGCTGGTAACTCATGAAAACTTACAATACGACTAATTCAATCAGTCTAGAACAAATATTGGTTCATATCCTGAAACTGCCTCGAACACGGTCTTAAAAAAACTCGACTACGCCTCGTTTTTCAACCCAGTTCGCGGTGTCTCGACATCTGATGAAACACTTAGTGTATATGACTTAAACAATCTTTCGTGATTAAGCGTTGGTATTGAGTGAAAAAGTTTGCAACGTTTACTTCAAGGTTGTCATTTCTTTTCTAACTTTTTCTCGTGAATTATTAGTAGCGTTCAAATTTTAATAGATTTGCGTATTGAGACCAAGTGCTTACCAAAAAGGAATGTTAGAAAGTGGAAATTCCAAGCGTCCTAGTAAAGCTGTCTCATTATAGGGAAGCGCTGCTTACTTCCTGCGAGTTTAGACAGCCTGTTAGAATCACGGCCTTATGTATGCTCTTTCTGTTTGTGTAAGCGAATCATACAAAAGTGATTTTTCCGGAGTTTTTCAAACCTCTTTTGTTTGAGCTTTGCAGAACACAAGATAGGTTAGTTAAGACAGCAGAACCCTAATTCTCAAGGTGCAAATCACTGTAAAGTACCAGTATAGTACATGTAGCGTATATTCTGCTCCATTCAATGCCTTGATTACTGTATGTTCTAGTATATTTGTTATGTGCATAAAAGTTTGTAGCCATAAATCTTGCTACGCTGGTTTGCGGGAAATATATCTTATGCCTTTGGTGGGCCCTTTGGTGATATTTCGTTTTGCATGAGAGGCTTAAGTTGCCATGGAGACCCCTTGCGTCATATTTCCAAGAAAGACGTAATGTACATTTCCTTCGTTTCTTAAAAAACTTTCCGGGAAAAACGAATTGAAATTTCGTTGAATTTTTATCTACCCGATTGCGTTTAGAGTGCAGTTTTTAAAAATAGCACAAGTCAGAAAGAAATGGCGTAAAAGAAATCTCAGTCGGTGGACTTTTTGGGACTAAAAAGACACATTAGTCTTCTTCTGTTCGATGGTGAAACTTTAAATATAACAGTTGTACAATGTTTTGCCTGGAAGATTGTTGGCGAGTTGGATATTTGCATTAGCATGACTGGGTATCGTACTAGGTATGTTTTTATTACAGCCTCTAACTTGCTTTTCTTCAATACCGAGGAACCTCGAATATCAAACCCTTATATAACGCCTTCAGGTCCTTGGCAGAACGAAAAATATCTCTTGTCTCAGTGCTAGTCAAATCACTATATAGTATATAGTAAAGAACCTCCATATAACGAGACCTTGGTATAGCGAACATGTTTTGCCAGCACTTTTGCCCTTAGTAACATTGTCTTTCCATTGTAGTAAAGACGTACTTTTGAGGCGACAGACTATTCTATCAAAGTCTGTTTCTGAGACAAGAATATTGATCAGATTTGTAGTTGAATGATACAAAGGTTTCTGCGAATCCTTTGAACTGGAATGTTTTTGAAGTTAACTGTCGCTTTTATATGTTATGACGCATCTTCTCTCCTTATCCATACATTTCATTTTAGGCCTCTTACCCCTGCCCTTTAAGGGAGACCTCATTTCTAAGGGTAAAATGGACTTTTCTTTAAAAGAGTTTAGGGGTGCGTCAAGAACAGCTAATGATATAGACGCTAAAGAAAGAGTACTTGCCGAGCACGCATAACGCAGGAAACCATTTTTTGCCTTAACTAAGGGGTCTAACATAGCTTGCTCGCTAATTTTCGTTTCCGCAAAATTGTGTTTTACGGCGTCTCAATTGGAATTTGATTTTGATTTTGACCCGAATCAGAATTTTGTACCTCAGTGTCAGTTAGATATATTCTTTCTTTGTTTATGTAAGTGTTCTTTGCCAGCCTAAAAGGCGCTATTTTGTGCGTTTTTCACGGGAGTACGAAGTGGGCGAAGAAGGTGAGACGGCGAATAACTAGCGCTTGTTCTCCAGGCTAACGTTTTCTTTGAATATGGTGTTATGTCCCGTAAGACACATTTTATCTTGGTGTCATTAAAGTATCTTGCTTTGAGGGTAGTATAAATGTTAGGACTTTAAGGAGTCACGGCAACAAGGATGACAATTAACACTTTTTGTTGCATTACTGTTTCATCACGGCACGACAAGGAAGTGAACGTTTTCTTTAAATAATTTTACTTTAAAAAATTGAACAACACATATAGAGCACAAAATCGAACAGACAATTTTTAAGAGACATAAAACAAGAGAATGATTAAGATGATAAACACAGCAACATCAGTGTGCTGATTTTCCTGTGGGAGGTATAAAAGAAAACTACATTAGCTTGAGCTGGTTATGTTACCAAGTCATCTCTCTTTCATTTTGTTCAACTCCAGTCTAGTTCCTCGCCCAATTTTTTTTATTAGTATATATACGGATAAAGATGTACGCACATTTTTTTAAAACAGTACTGTCTAACGTTTTAAGAAAATTTGTAAAAATGATAATTCCTGTTCGATATCCACTATGTATCACCCACAATCGTGTGTTTGCTTGGCCAAATCAAGTCAGCAAAATCAGCTTAATGTTAATATATTATGTTGTAGCCGAGATTTGATTAAAAAGGTTAATGGGTTAGCTTTGGTACTCTTACCCCTGGCCCAGTAGGGACTTGTAGATATGCTGTACCGCTAGAAGAAAAGAAATCCAAAGCGGTTAGTTTTTTGAAATCACTTTAATCCGCTGAAGTGGGTAGAGCTTTCTGCATTTCTTGCATTGTGATCTGCAAATTTTGTAGAAGGTTAATTGACAAAAAGGAGTGAGTAACTCTAAGCTTAGTTAACAGTTCTAATGAAAAGATTCTGAATTATTCCAACTGGAGGACACGTAAAATATGTCAGTTGACTCCTTTTGTATGGTTGAATATCCCCGACTCGTATGTCAAAAAGATTAACTTCTCACAACGTGTAAAGCAGTCGGTAGACATGATGGTCAGCGGAGTTACCAAAATATCCCTTTTGAGGATTTGGTGAAGCTAAAAGAAAGGTGATACAGAATGGTTATGATTGAAAAAATAAATTGTTTTTGATATTACATTAACCGGCGCTTTGATTCATTATTGATTGGTGGTTGGCAAATTAACAGCTGGGAACAGTGCTTACCAAACAGGGTTATGTCCTCCCCCGGTGTCAGTACGTTGTTGCACCAAACGCCCTCCATCCGTGTATTGCCGCTATAAAGCAAAAAAAACTCACTTATATTTCAATAAACACATTCTCTTGGCAGAGCAAGTGATATAAACGCCCTTCTTACTATCCTTTTCACTATAAAGGCAAAATTATATAAAATTCAAGTGCGCTTATAATAGCGTATCAACTGTGGGCTATGTGTTGGCATGCCACATGAACATCATCGTTATGTTTACGTTCATTGAGTGTAGAAATTTTTCTCGTAGCTACAATCTGTGACATTAGATCTTGGTTCAATTGAAGGAAAAACGTTGACATGTTGTGTTCGACCTCCTTTTCCTTTTTCCCTCAATGTTGGCCTCGAACTTGGACAATTCCACCGGAAAACCATTACAAAACAACATTGGAACAGAGAAAGACAGGTATCAGAGCAGCGTGACCCAAGTTGAGTTTCACTGATTGTAGATGTGCACAATCTTAATACAAAGTCAATTAAGAGTATGATGTGCAAAGGGTCACTTTCATTCAACATTGCTTTCTCACAGATATCAAGATTAACCAGAATGCCATGTCAGGTGTCATGCATATTTCAAGAAAGACAACTATAACGTTTACCTCAGGGGAAGATGTTTCAAGGTGGCCAGGATTAGAAACAGCTTGGAGGTCTTGAGCAGTTTCACTCACATCATTCTCACTATCAAGAGCATATCATTAAGGTAAAGTAAGTAACTTTTGCATTGTCTTGTTTTCTATCTGTATCAGGTTGATTTCTCAAGAGCATTCATTAATCAATTCATCCATTCAATTGTTTTCTTATTTTCTTTGAATGCCCTACTTATTTTACCACTAATTAAAGAAGAAATGAAAGAGGTAGAGTTGAGTAAAATGAATTATAATTGGGAAACGTTTGAAACTCATTTAGGTAAATTGGGCAGAGAAATGAATAGAACATCAACATAAACTGAAAACGATGGCGAGAAGGCCTTCAGAAATTACAAAACTTATATAAGGTAGAACTGGTGTCGTAATGAGGGACTACGATCGCTACCAACGGTTGTCAACTTTGAAATGATGTCGATGGGCTTTCTCAATATTTTAACATTTTTGGGCGTGGGTCTTTTTCTTCTATCTGAAACTAAATTCCTAACTTAATAACTTCAAACTGGTAAAATTGCCAAAAGATGAATAATGCTGCATCTTTCAGTGATCCTAGGACACTGAAAGATGCAGCCCTCTGCAGTTATTTGCCAAAAGTCTTTGTTTATTGTTTCGTTTGCGATAAGTTGTACAAAGCAAAAAAAAAATCTAATTATTTAAACTCTCATGGCGAGGAAGCCCAAGAGAAGCAACTGGGCTTATAAGGAATGGGCTCCCTCAGTTACTACTAAACTACTTAACGGCTGTCTACAGGAAACCTTTGTTAGCGCAATAATTCTCTTTGCAGTGTCTGTTAATGGTGTCAATGAGTTTATACGTAGATTTTTTACTTCTTACTTGGGAGCTTTCTCTTCCTTGTGTTGTCCTTCTTCGTTCTCCTAAAACAAGCGTAATAAATCTTTTACAAACGTTTTCATCCAGAAGTCGTATAGCAAGATACAAATCTATGCACGTTGATTGTGTAATCTATTCATTCACAAACATCATGTTGAACCTGTTATCGTATTATATCTTACATTCGTCTTTATTTTACGTACTTCATAACTTCGGCTATAACACATATCTAAGAGAAATACAAAAAGTGACCGGATTAAATAACAGACGCAAATCATTCAAGAAAGACTACGGACATGAAAAATCTTAATTAATTGTATCACAAGGTATAAGCTAAACACTGAACAGGTTAAACTTGAAAAGCAACTCGTTATTGTGCTTGTTAGGCACCTTGCAATAATGTCGTTCTAAGATCTCTTTCAAGAGATAAGGGAACGGCAGCACTATAGTTGTTAATTCAGGTCGAGATATTACCCCGCTTGAGTGCCCCTTCAAAGGCTAAATTAGTACAGCTTGCATTATAAAGAAAGCAGTAAAACCTTTACAACAGTCATTGTTTACGTAAACCCTCTATCTGCTAGGAAGGTTTATTTATATCCGTAATCAGGTGATGACACCAATCTTTTATTTCTTGTAGTGTGGCGGGTTTAAAAGCATTGATGAGCTAGCTAACGATTTGAAATTTTGCTCACTATCCATCGTAAAAAGGAAACTTTATGAAGGAACTGCAGTTGTTGCTACGATCCTGTAAACTCTTACCCACTTTTCTGCCATTGAAACTAATCTACAAAAAGAAAGGAAAACAGATTATGTCAACACTTTTTAAAATTGGTTTTAATAACCTGTAAAATTAATGTGGGTTCACTTGGGAAGTTCTATGGATACTTACAGCTTCGTCCGAAGGAATAAGTGCACCTCACCCTTTTTTCGCTCTTTAGGTAAAATAAAGATGGCGGCCTTGAAGTCGGTACTCTATGGCGAGAAACGCACCTAAAGATAGCATACGGTTTGTAGGTCGTCCATACCTTTTCAAAAAGGCTAGATTCTAGGGTGACCGCAGTCGTTACTTGACTGCCCTTAGAGATTTTCCTTGTTTTGCGGTAGGACATTACTTGCGTTTTAAGTTAACTAGAGGAAAATGAACAATTAACAGTCAATAGTTGTGGTCTTCTGCCAAATTTGAGGGCCGACAGCTTTGTGGTGTTTTTAGTCATCAATATTATTAATGATGATTTCAACAATCATGAAAAGGAAAAGAATTATTTTTAAAACTCTTAGAGCGTAGACGAGAGTCGTCCCAAAAACATAACAAGGTTAACATCGCCGATCTGCTTGGAAATAATCATTAAATAGGCCTTTACACGGTTTTGATAAAACAATCTTTTTAAAGTTGCTTTTATCCATGCGAATGATACGTGCTCTTTTGTTAAAACTCACTTTCGAATAACTGACCTTGTAACCCTATAGTAAGAGTAATTAGTTAGAATTTTTGGTATTAGGACCAATGAGTTGTGTTTCTTGTTAAAGCAATCCTTTCAAGTTATTTTGGGCGTTCTATTGTTAGAAATACACTTTTTTTCGCACAAAGTAGTGATAATCGGTTGTAAGCATTACTAACCATTTATGGCCACATACCTCTCCAAATTGTTCACTGTCTTCTGCCAAAAGGTTTGAATTTAATCGCTATTTGACAATTAAAACAAAAAATCCATAAAAGCGTACTTTTTATTAGGCGGGTTCGAAATGTTTTAACGAATACAGACTAAATTTAATGCTCTCAAAAACCGCGTTGAATAGTGAAACCGCAAATCACAAAAACGGTTGTGCCATTGTCGAGTGTAATTTAGCCATTAACGAGAAATCACATTTTAGTCGCCACATCAAATAGTAAGTTTAGAGTTTTCTCTTTATGGCTGAGCTTGTTTCTTTTTCACTCGGAACTAAAGTTATGTTGTATCAGAAACAACAGCGTCTCAATTCCGCCTCGTTGTTGTAAGTTTGAGGACTCGTTGATAGTCTGATTGAGTGAGTCAAAATACTGAATACGCAGTTAAGCGGAATGCCATCGTGAATGTTATTAGCGTATTGGTGAAAACATGACGGTGAACAGCCAGTTATCAAGACATCAAGGTCTCGTGTGTGACCGGCGCCTCTTGTTTGAGCTAGGAGTGCGGCAACCACGATAATTGTATTACTGGAACTCACCAATGTTTGTTTCCCGTCAGTGACCTTCTGAAGCCCTCCTTGGAACAGCGAAAGTGGCCGGGTGCTCCTTTTAGATATTTTAGCTAAATCGGTTACTCAGTTGGTGGTATAAATAACCCTTTGGGTGTTTTCTCGAACTTTTGTTTGGATATTGTTGAAAGTTATCGTTTATGTATTGTTTGTTATGTCTTTTCGGTGTTCGCTTTGTTTTATAGACATGTTCCCCTTAGAGCGGAATTATATAAATTGTTAACGAGCGAGCCACTCCAGACTGTCACCACGCTATTGTTCGGTGTAATTGCTTGACGCCCTCAAGCAGTTTTCCAGTTCCTCTCCTTTCAAATGGTTGAAATACTTTGGTCCTTCGTCTTCATTTATACCTTTTTTTAGGCGAGTGAACAAAGGAGTTGGTCACTGACGACTAATATGAAAGCGCTTCGAGTCACGCACGTACAATTCATTCCATATCATCTGGCTGCATGCTGTGAAGCATCTTGTACGAGAACATTGACGAAATTATATTCATTCAAGTTTCACACTGTTATTATTGTTCGAAGAAAGCTTTTCATATGAAGTTTTCAAAACTGAAGTAAATGTGCAAAGTTTCCCAGATGAGAGATGTAACTTAGAATTTCCTTTTCTATTTTATCTCTTCCTTTTTTGCAACTTTGAAAGTCTCTTAAAGCGGGCGAATGACTATTTAAATATTGAAGTAAAAATCGGGGATATTTAAACTTTTCAACAAGTTTTACGACAGATATAAAGTTCCCACTGGCAGGCGTTTACCACTGCCAAATGTAATTATTGCTCGTTAAAATGTAACACTTTCCCTCTTAAGAACAAGCCTTAAGGTGACTCGACCCAGTTTTTTTGGGGGCGTACCATCCTACTTTGAAACTCTCTGGTATCCCCACCTTTACTTTTATCGTAAGTCTAACACATAGAATGGATAACATATAGATCAATCTACAATATAACATAAAATTTTTGGCGATCGGAGTAAATGTCACGTGGTTATAATGCCACGCCCCTTTGAGGTCTGAGTCGAAAATCTGCTGTTGCAGGCATTTTTTCGTGAAAATCTCTCGGCTACACATAGCGTGCATTAGTGCCTTGCGCTGAACAGAGTTTCACCAAAATCGCAAAGACCCAATTCGAGAAATTCAGCGGTTTCCAAATTTAGGTCATAATTTATGCGAAAATGATAAGCAAACTTTACACGGATTATATCTAATAAACTATGAGATTCATCTCTTTATTTTGGGCATCGTTATAACAGATGGGTCCTTGCAAGTCAGCAAAACGCTTTAGGGCCTTGTAAATGCGCGCGATTTCGAGCAAAGCAAACATATAGAAATTATAGTTTTCGCTATTTGTTGACGTTTGTCAGCGTTTAAGAGTCCTTCTCACGAAAAAAGCATTTTCTTAAAAATTCGTAGTTTTTTTTCCTTCAAATTTTTTCAGGGCCACAATTGATTAACTAACTACCCGGACTCTGAATTTCATGGTCATTGAAAAACTGTGACATTATCTTCTATAAGCCCAAACTTGAGTAAACATTGAAGATTTTTAGCGTTTTGGCTGAGTTTGTGCTTTGGGAGTTGTCTATTGTTTCTAGTCTGTCATTATACAGCATTCTTGTTCAGCACGCGTGCAATGACCACGCTTGGCTGACTTCCGAATGCTCACCGAGATATTCCCGTCACGAGTTGGTTTAATTATTGGCTTGCATTAAACCTATGAAAAAATGATATTTTTTTAATAGTAAGTAGATTTAGTGTGTAGCACTTCTTGATTTTTTTGCAAAGGCACAAGAAGCACGAGAATTGATTAAAAATTGTGACTTAAACCTCTATGTATCACGCGATGGCCTGTCTCACTGTACCAAAATTATTATATCTCGGTGAGCATTCGGAAGTCAGCCAAGCGCGGTCATTGCACGCGTGCTGAACAAGAATGCTGTATAATGACAGA